TATTTATTTTTAAAATCTTTTATTTATTTATGTATTTGATACAAGGTCTTCTGTATGCAGCGCAGGCTCATAGTGATCCTCCTGTCGCAGCCTCCCCAGTGCTGGGAATACAGGTGTGCACCACCAGACCCGGTTTCCTTGACTGATACAGCATGTCTGAGGTTTTGGGGCCAGCATAGAATGTGGTACCATATTTTTCCTATGCACATTCTTTTTTTTTTTTTTTTTTTTTGGTGGAACTGGGGATTGAACTCAGGCCCTTGCGCTTGACCAGGGAAGTGCCTATTCCACTGAGCTATCTTTGTGGCCCCTCCTATGCATATTCTTTTTATTTCTTTTTTGTATAATTGCTTGGGCAAATATTTCTAGAACTATATTGAACTGGAGCAGTGATAGTGGGCTTATTTATCTTGTTTTGAGAATGAAGCTTTCATTGATCACTTAGTTGAATTTTGTCCATTGCTTGTCACAGATAGCTTTTGTCAGAATTAGAAAAGTCCATCTAATCCAATTTTTAAAAAAATTTTAATCATGAATGAGTGCTGAAAATTGTCAAGTGCTTTTCCTTCATCTATTGAGATGCCTATGTGGTCTTTGTTCTTAGTTGTGTTAATATAGTGTATTATATTTATTGACTTGTATATGTTAAATCATCTCTGAATTCCTGGGATAATCCTACTTGGTCATGGTGTATTATCTCTTCCTCCTCCTTCTTCTTCTTGTATTTGGTACAGGGTTTCACTATGCAACTTGGACTCATATTAATCCTCCTGTTTCAGCCTCCCCAGTGTTGGAATTACAGGTGTGTACCACAACACCTAGTATCAGTGGCCGGCTCAGCACACCCAGGGGTGGTGTTGGCACAGCATGTGGTGCTGGGGGTCAAACCCTAGACCATGCACTTGACTTAGCATTCACTTAGTCTGCAGAGCTGTCTCACTGGCCACAGCATTATCTTCTTAATGATTTGCTGCATTCTGTTTGCCAGTGTCTTACTGAGGATTTTTGTATCTATGATCATTAGGGAGATTGGCATGTGTTTCTCTTTGGATCAAATCATTCTCTGATTTTGTTATCAGGGTAAGTTTCCCTTCTGCAAGAGAACCTTGGGATATCTGTGCAGATTCAAGTCTAGGTTTTGGAGACAAAGAACACAAAGCAGTCATCGCAAAGTTGTACAAAGTTTATTTATCTACCCTTAGAGATATCAGAAACTCCGAATTCCCTGATAAGCAGGACTCCAGGGACCAAGAGTGAGAGTAGATTTTCCAGTTGAGGGTATTAATAGATACTGAGAGCAGTAGACACTTGATAGCCGACTGCAGCGTACTGTTCCTCACCAGGAGGGCATATATTTTCATCTGACACAACTTCAGCAGTCCCTACAATTTCAGTGCTGCCTGGAGAGAAGAAGCAGAACTGTTAGGCTGTAGGACTGCACAGGGCTTCCTCTCTGGTCTCATGTAGGCTTCCCCCACAGCCCATTGCCTCTCTCCTGCTATGTCTCTCTCAGTTCTCATTTGTAGTCTTATACACAAGCTTCAGTGGTTACTAGGCAACTACTCTGCACTCATGTTAAGCCCTTTATCCCCACTTCCAGTTTTGCATCTCATTTTTATTCCAGCGCCTTCTTCCTTTCCTTTCTGCTACAAACTGATGCTGTTTTCCTCTATGAGCACTCTCACATTTCCTCAATCTGATATCCATAATTCATTAGGAGGTGGTCTCATGTACCTGAGACTATGATATCCCAGAAGAAGGATTTTGTGTCATACACACATGAAGTATAAGTAAAATGACCATCAGGGTAAGTAATGCGTGAATTGTCCTCAGTTGTGACTCTAACCTGAGGAAAAGAAATTAGGATAAGGTGAAAGAATGTAGATCCAGATGAAGCTACACTGAATCAGACATTAAGTAGGATTGGCATCATTTAGGGTGCTGTAGGAAGGAAGGAACCACCCAGAGCTGTCAGGCTTACTTGGCTTCAATCAGATTTTCTGTAATTCTCTATGTGCCATGTTCAAATTTGACTTGCACTATAGGAAATAAAACAATGTTTACTTTGGGCTGGTGATGAGTTTTTAAAATTTAAAAATGTGGTTTGAAAGAGTTGTCCGATATGACTTTTTTTCTGCATCTCATGCAGTGGAAGTAAACATGGCTGTCTGGCTCTGTTTAGCTTTTAACTCATCAGCTGGTTCATGGAAGGGTTCCTAGTTTTTTATTTTATAATTATCAAGGCCTTTGGAGCATCACTGTTGGGCTATGCCTGGGGCATCAGTTGGACTTAATCTGTCCCAGGGCCCTGGCTCTCCTCAGCCGACTCAGTGAAAAATGATGCTCACCTCTTTGTAAACCAAGAGGGAGATGGAGATTGGAGACTCGGGTTTGTCTGCTGTGGGATGGTGAAGCCACAAGCAATAAGCACTGATGCAACAAACAAGAGCAGAACTGATCATCTCCATTATCTTTGTATCTCAGCTTTATGACATAGAAAGGCAAGGGTGGTTCTTCTCCCTTTGAACTTATTGACTATCTTCTTCAGATGAGTTTATGTTTTTTTGTGGTTTGTGAGTGATGGAGCCTGACAAATGTAATGTACCACATTTACTGTGCAAAGAAACATACTTGGAGTTTCAAGGCACTTGACATAGTGTATTTAGCACCTGTTCTTTGTAAGCTAGAAAAATTATGAAATTTCACTAAGGCGAGGATGTAGGAAATGACAGTTCTCCAAATGAAAGAACTGATCTTCTGGGGCCGGACAAAGGAAGAAAAAGTATCAAGACGTCTTTCTGAAATACACCAAAAGCATTTCTATTATCATTTATATTTGAATAAATATCAGGCATTGTTTGTATTTCTCTAGAAGTTTTCAGTATTCCTGGAAATTTCCCTAATCTCCTATCTCTTTAAAATTATTGTTTATTTTTTAAAGAGAGTACAGAATAGTATTAAAACAGAAAAATTACCAATGATCGAGAATTTCACTAAACAGAATAATATGAACTTCACAGTATTTTTTGTAATGCATAGTGTTGCCTTCAAATTAGTTGCTCATATTACCAGACATACTCATGCAAAGTTGGAAGCAGAAAGAAAAAAGGAAAAAAAATATAAGAAAGTAAAAAGACAGAAAAAGGAAAAAGGATTGAAAAACAATTAAGCATTTACTATTCCTTTCCATAGACCAGCAGAAATCCACAGTACAGTTGTCCAAACCATCCTGCTTACATAGTTATATCTCCTTCCCTAATCTCCTTTTTGTCTTTCTCTCGTTACTCAGAGTCTTGCCTTCTGGGTTAAAGGCTTTGATCCCTTATCGTTTTCATACCACCATTTCTTCAATTTTAGACTGAAAGTCCTAACACGTACATTTCTAACAGGGTTACCCTGAGTTCCAAGGCCACTGTACACTAAAATATTTGGCAAGTGAAACATTTAGAAGTTAAATGATGATAAAGCTTTTATGTAAATTCATGGTGATTACCAATATACTTTATTGTAATATTTCTTTTCTCTTACCACCAAATTCTTCACTTACCACCATGGGTTTATCCATATTGTTTGTGACTGTCAATGTTACCGAATATTCATTTGGGTCTTTCTCCACAGTGCTGATAGCCACTGACATTATGTTGTATCTGGATATGGCAAAAGAGACAGAAAGACAAAGTTAGAGCAAAGCCCAGGAAAGAACTGTCCAGGTAAAAATGCTCAGGCTTGGAAGGTATTTTTGCTTCACAAACATGTCCATGACTCCTTTCCCATCTGCTGGCTACTTCCCTCTTCATATTATGTCTGCTGCATGCTTGTGTCTTCTAGGGAACCCTTCACTGTTTCTAGGATTCAATGCTTTCATCCAAAGATGTAGTCTCCTTTTGTCTCATAAGGTACTGAATAATGACAGTTTCTTTCTCTCTTTTTCTGGCAGGTGAATTTAGACCTAGAGATCAGCTTCATCCATCATGAATTTGGCATATAGCAGCTCTTCCAGGAAAGGTGAGGTTAAGAATCACATGCTTACCAGTCTTTGAAAACTCTGCACAGGTTACCTCGATCCTGACCCCAACATAGGAGCTAGATCTTAGTGAGATCACTGCTGCCAGTGAAACCACATGAAATGATCATCAGCACAACCCTGTCTACTGGTTGCGATGAAGGCTATGGACCCCTGTGCAGCTCAGATATCTTCTCCAAAGCTTGTCTTAGTTATTGATCAAACCTTATCTCTGTAGACACTTTCCACTTAGGAGAAAAGTAGAAGGATTAACTCAAGACAGAGAAATAAAGTAATAATCCAGTGACAGGAGCAACTGGGTTTGATAATGTAAAGAACAGGTTCCAAGCAGGAAAAGAGTGAGTCCAAGAGACATAAATATTACAAAGGCCTAAGTAAGCTGGGCAACATTGGTGTTGGAGAATACTTTAAGGAGTAGAATGTTGTTTCTGAGTTGGGAGAGGAATCCTCCCAGGAAGACTTCCTGTAGCAAGAAGAACAATGTGACTTACTCATCTTTAGCTGAACCGATCCCCAGGCTCAGGCAAAGGAGCAGGAGCAGAGTGGCAGAGTTGAGTTTCAGTCGATTCTGAAGTTTATGCATGATGGGGCTATGTGATGTCCAGGACACTGTGCATGCAGGCACTGAGGTCACTCCTATAAGCTGTAACAGGAGGACTCTGGAGCCATCGGGAAGGTCCACTCAGCCAAAGTCATCACACTTCTGCATCTTCCCCATTATGACATGTTTGTTTTTCTTTAAGAAAGGTCAGCAATCAGGTGGAATTTTAAACCGGAGTGCAGTGAAGGAGAATTAAGTTTTCCTTGTCAATATCAGACTAGAATATCTTTGGATTGTTAGGATGGGTCTTGTAACTTTCATATAGTGACTGTTCTTCTGTG